AAAGTTGTTTCTTCTTTTGCCTTATTTTGAGTCTCAGACTTATTAAATTCTGTTGACATAAATTGTCAGTGTGTAATACAGAGGACAAGACACGAAAATAGGACAAAAGTTTGTGTATAACAGTTTTGAGTTGCTCTTTTTCCCATTGTATGAGCATTAGTAACCCTAAAATTTTTCCTCCTTTCATTGTTAAGTTTCTCATTGTATCATTAAAGTGTTTTTCTCTTAGTTGGTGTCATCTTATATATAGTTGTTAAAATTAAGCCAATAATTAAAAGAAGAAATCACAAAGTTGGTAACATTTTCGTTGTTAAGATTTGCCTTTTCTTTATTTAGTATAATTAATTTGATTTTAAATCTCGCTTTTTTTTTTTTAGGTTTTGCAGGCCAAGTCTAAACTGTTTTGGCATTTTGTTAATGCAGGAATTTCATATGTATGTAGAGTAGTAAAAAACAATAACTGTATTTTTATAGGGAGATTAAAGAATGTCTGAAAAAAGTCTTTATTGTGTCTTATCCATACCAAGCCTTCAAAGGAAATATACATAGTTTGTCAGGCAGTCCTTCCTACATGCATACACATTAATATTCAGTTTGCAAAGAAAATTAGGTACATCAGCCAGTACTGATTTCTTTGCAATTATTGAATTAATTTGTGTCAGAATAAATACATAATTAGTTGGTGTGTACTAATGTAAAAAGGCCTGTCTATAACATGGGAATAAAGGCTTCTGCTCACTGACTTGTGACTATATATACACACAGTAAAAGTATTATACTAAACATTTGGATGTATCATATTCCAAGGGCTTGTAAGCCTGGTAATTGTGAAAAAATCCTGTCTTTAATTACTCAGTAATTGCAATACTAATAATCAGAGGTGTAGTCCTAAACATAGGGCAATATGAATATCACATGCTCTTAATGTTACAAATATATATGACTAACACTACAGCTTTTTTTTTTTTCTAATGTAATTTTATTTTTTCTTTGCATTTTACTGAATACCCTGTTAATGACAGCATGAAATTAATTATGGTGTAATCATCAAAGAGATACGGGTAACAATATTATATTTACACACATACTTACAATATAGTTATCTTCTACCAGGTGTCCCCATGTAAAACAAGCAACATTTCAAGTTATTGCTGTATAAAATATGAATATGCTAACATCCAGCCATTAAAGAACTTGTATCACTTTGCAATCTCACTTATTTCTTTATCACACTACAATAGCTTTGTGTAGTGCTAATAAATACTTAGTTATAAATACAGCAAACGTGGCAGAAGATATTACGGTACCATATATTTTTTTTTCTTACGGTATCATGAAACATAGCCTATACAGAGAGAAATTAGAAATACTAACACTTTGTGTATCTTCTGGAATATCAGTGTCATTTAAGTGATATTGCTAGAAATGATTTTTAAAGATATTTTTTTTAAGGTACTAGTATATTAGTGTATGAAAAATGGTAGATAACTGGAGTTGAGTTATGAAATTCATAATTTGAACTGTCTTCACTCCATCAGATACAAAATAATAAAAACTAATGTATCTTAAATATAATATATTCTATACAAAATGCATTTATGGATCTGTCATTCTTCGAAAGTACTCATCTGCACACTTTAAGCATAGCAAACTAATAGAAGCTACCCAGAATTTTTGAATTAAAAAAAAAGAAAAATGAGATAGTTCGATAAGATCACTATTCCCATCTGGATTAAGACTAGTTAACTCCAACAGACAGAAAAAAAGTAAAAAATACTTCTGCTCAGAGAATGAATGTGGGAAAAAGGAAGCAAAATGAAGAAAGGGTTGATGGTTACGTCTGATTCATCTCACATTGTAAATAAGTCAAGACTGCTAACTTACTATTCAAGCAGACTTTGCAAATACTTTTTTTTTCTAAGCATTAAAAGAAAGGAATATATATTTTGAGAAAGGTCATTAAAGAGACTCAGATCCCGATTACAAAATTAAAGAAACATGAAAAAAAGAGTAAAAAACAAGTTTGTTTCAGCGGACAATTGTATCAGAACTAAGAGATTTCTTGTAAACCAACATTTTACCTTCAAACATTCCCTCATAGGAGCAGCTTTTTCTATTCTTCAGATTTATATCACAATAACTTAAAAAATAAATCTGTATGTATTTAATATAAGACATTAACAAAACCTATATGTCTAATTACAGTTGCATTGATAATGAGCTAGACAGAATTCAGGTTCAGGCAAGTATGTAATAGATAAGGTCTGCTACCCTCTCTTTATGCTAATGAAAAAAAAGGAAAATACAAGCTTATAACTACTGTATCAAGTCATTTTTTCTTTTATGAACATAATTTCTATTGTAATTCATGAAAGTTAGCATTAAAAGCATCTGTCTCTTTTCCCATTTTCTGTCATTAAATATGCCTCATGTGCACATGCTGTTCTATCATCATATTTTGTCTTCAAGCATTCTCTGCACTGAAGTTTTGGAGAGGCTTGCACAAAATGCCTGAGGGGGACACAGACTTTTTATTTGTCTTAAATACTGTCCAGAAATTCATCATCACTTGCATTTGTTTTAAGCTTTCTCTTCATTTGCTTCCTGGAGTTTCTTTTCCTTTCTGGTGTCCTCCCATCGCTTGATAAGACGGAGAGGGATGCACATGAGACCTGACAGTGCAAATATTCCACCAAACACATAGAAGGCCACATCATATGACTTAGTGGCATCGTAGAATGCACCTGCAGGTAAAAGACAGAGTTCTGATTAGGTCTGGTTTCTAAAGGGGAAATTGCTATTTTTCTCATATGCACTTCCACTCTTTCTCTTCAGATTTTCCTTCCTTCTTATTTCTGTTCTTTTTTTTCCATTTACTTTACTTCATCAGATTATTACAATGAAAAAAGCTTAACTTAAAAGTACCACTTATCTCAAAATAAAATAAAAGAAAAAATGGGGCTCTTACCTGCCACAGGACTGCCCACAAGAGCTGCAATGCCTTGGAACAACAGCAGAAGGCCAAATGCATTTGTCAGTTTTTCAAGGCCAAGTAACTCTACCAAAAGGATGGAACGTAATGAGGCAAATGCAGCTGAAAGAATAAGGAAGAAGTGTTAGAAAAAATTGAGTACAATGGAAGATAGTGTTGTTTATGTTGTTTATGTGGGGCTTTATTGTCAAGATCTGGGGAGCAATTGATTGCAGAAAGTTTCAAAGTTCAACGTTTGTAATGTGCTGTGAAGGGGACACACAGAGACAGACAGACAAGAGTGTGAGATGTACAGGGGCAAGCTCACTGGCCAAGATTCCTACCCAAAACTACCATGAAGCAGATAATCAGTTGTCCGATTGCATTTTTTTTCACAATCTATATAAAAAGTCTCTTTGTTTTATGCCCATTACACTGAGGAAGGTTCAGATCAGACTTATATACACAAATATTTATTTGTGTGTGATGTTTTGGATTTTTTTATATAGACTGCACAGTCAGATGCGTATATGCTCAAAACACTAATGAAAAAACAATATACATACAGCTTGATGACTTTCTACTCACCAACTGAAACACCAAAGGCCACTGAATAGGTTAGGAGGAGGGACTCGTCTGAGATGAATGGCAAGAGCATTGTTGCAGCTCCACCAATCATGAGGGAGAAGTTATTGACATGTAAGGCATCAACCTGCAAGAAAGGGGCACTTTATATAAATCTGAATAAATCCAGAAACAATACATCTATCAGGTACTTTTAGGAAATCAGTGAAATCATAATTAAGACTACATTAGTAAATAAACAAAAACAGGTTTATATTCTATCTAGGAGTATGTAACTTTACTTCTTCATTCAGTTTACAAAATTGAAAAGTGAAACAGCATAGCTTATTGATTATCAAAAGCTTTAAGTCTCCAACCTTGGGGTGATCTGAAATCCAGCCACAGATGATTCTGCCCAAGGTGTTTGTGATGCCAATGGTAGAGACCAGAGTGGCTTGGGAACCTTTGTCAGCGCCTTGTAATTCGGCAAAGCCTGAGGAGTGGCAGCATTATCATCATGGGGGAAATTACTGTTTGTGGCCAATACTTTGTGGAAAAAATGGTTTCTTTTCTATCAAGATGGTACATTTTAATGACATTAAAATGGCCAATGTTTATATTCATCATAGAATGAGTGAAAAGCACTGGATTTGATACAATACGTAAAAAGACAAACAAATTATTTATTGAAAGGATTATTTTGTGTATGATGGGGAGTTTCTACTATATTCAAAAATACTGAAAGAATATATATCCTGCACTTCAAAAGTGAATCATATGACCCTACATTCCTCTCCAAACGCAAACATATTAACAGTAAGTACACCCCATGAAACATTACCAGGCAGAAACATGAAGGGGACGAATAAAGCCATGAGGGACAGGAACCCAGCGATTCCCAGCACAACAAAGGTAACAGAAGCCAAGAGGGAGAAGTCAAAAATTCTGAAGATGACATTTGTAAGAGCAGTCGGACAGCAGCGTATTCTGCTCTCCTCCTCCTCCTCTGCTATGTCTTCCATGGGTGGGAGCTGAGTGACTGACTGGTGGTATTTGTCCACTGTATCCTAGAGAGTGAAAGGGGATCGAGAAAATTTGTTACTTCTGTAAGGTTTGTAAGGTTTTGTCAGGCATAATATTACATACTAATCTGCCGCTCAGACATAGCCTACTTTTTTCCGGGTAATAAACCAAAGGATAAATGTCCTGCTTAAATTTAATGATTCTATGAAGGCATTGCCAACAAGAAAATAAGTTAGGTTTTTATCAACATCATTTAATGACCAATCCGATACTGCCACCTCTTACATTTTCATATTATCACACTACATTTATTAGTGCCTTAGAAAAGTAAAACAAAACTCACAGAGCTTTTATATTCTGGGAGACGCAACAGAGACCCTGAGTAGAAAATGTCATCACGGTAGAATGGCCTGGCAGTCTCCGTTCTCATGGCTAGCCTCGATGGACGACGATGGTGTTCTGAAAGCAATACAAACAATTAAAGTGGGTGCAGAGATTCACATTCATATCCACCTGAACATTTGCACATGCGAACACACACATACACAAAATAAAAAAAGGAAACAGAACACTAGAAATAAAATTGAATCGTAACGTTTCGAATCAGTCAAGAGGACCTCATCAGACGAACAAATAACCATTTCGGTTATCTGGTCGTTGTCTCTTGACGAGTTCAAAACGTTTCGATTCAATCTCATTCTTCATTGTGGCTGTTTCCTTTTTATCTCTTTGTAGACGTTAGTGTGTTTGTTTATGTTCAACACACACACACACACACACACACACACACACACACACACACACACACACACACACACACACACACACGCACACACACACACACACACACACACACACACACACACACACACACACACACACACACACACACACACACACGCACACACACGCACACACACACACACACACACACACACACACACACACACACACACACACACACACACATACTCCTCGCGCCTGCCCCCCCCACCCCTTCCCCCCGACAGCGACACACTTGCCGAACACTCACCAGCCAAAAGGGCGTTGGGTTGAGCCAACGCAGGCGCGCTCTTGTTGCGTGGGTACCCGGGCGTCTTTGCATCGTTCTCTTGTTCTGTGACGTTGAGCATGTTCTTCAGTTCCGTCTCGTTCTTGTTGTTGTCCAGCACTTTCGCGCCGGCGCCGTTCTCCAGCTGCTTGCCCTCCTCCGTCTCGCCATCTGTGTCAGGAGGCGAGGAACTCAGCTAGTCTCTCTCTCAGGAGAAGATATCAAGGGAGATGCGGTGGGGGAGAATGGTGCTTGTGTGTGTGTGTGTGTGTGTGTGTGTGTGTGTGTGTGTGTGTGTGTGTGTGTGTGTGTGTGTGTGTGTGTGTGTGTGTGTGTGTGTGTGTGTGTGTGTGCGTGTGTGTGTACAAACGCACCACCAAATAAACAAGTAATTAAAGAAAGATATACACACACCACCTCGCCACCCACAGTGGGAAAATCCAAGTGCCTCGCCGCCCAGAACCTACCAATGAGCGGGGTCTCCGTCTCCTCCTTGATGGTGTCGGGGTTTGTGACGACGATGCCCGGGAAGCTGTACCTCTTGTTCGCGCTGCCCCCGTGGCGCTCCAGGAAGGCCTTGGCGACGGCGGCACTTCCCTGGGAAAGCAGGGCGGTCGAGGAGAACGTTAGAGGAGAGATCACTTCATTCCTCGGTAAGGTATGCTGATGGTACTTTGGTGAAATGAGGGTATTATGCAAGGAGAGAATATTTCATTCTTCGGTAAGGTATATTTTCATGGTACTTGGATGCAACATGGGGAGGAATTTTTAAGGTTATTTTAATAAGGATGCAAGGGTAGTATTCTACTTAGTATTCTTTAATGCAGTTCTTTTCGAGTTCTTGTTATAACAGATTTCACATACTTGGACGAAATTTTAAAAGTTCGGAGCATTTCAAACCCGTTACAGTCAAGTACCTTCCCCACCCTATTCAAAAAAAAAAAAAAAAAAAAAAAAAAACAGCAACGCATTAATGATCCGCCCTCGCCGACGGACCACGGACTAACCTTGGCATCGTAGGCTGTTAGGTTTTCCTCCAGATTGGATTTTGATTGCGTTTTAGAGTTCATTGAGGTCATGGACAAGGCGGAGGCGCACTGGCGGAGCTGCTCGTCCCTCGCGCGCTTTATTCTGCGCGGAGGAGAGAGAGAGAGAAAGGTCGTATGAAGCATCAGGGGAAGGTGATGGAGGAAAAAGTATAGAGGAAGGAGGTAGTGTGATAACGATGAGAACGATCAGAGAGAGAGAGAGAGAGAGAGAGAGAGGGAGAGGGAGAGAGAGAGAGAGGGAGAGAGAGAGAGAGAGAGAGAGAGAGAGAGAGAGAGAGAGAGAGAGAGAGGAGAGAGAGAGAGAGAGGGAGGGAGAGAGAGAGAGAGAGAGAGAGAGAGAGAGAGAGAGAGAGAGAGAGAGAGAGAGAGGGAGAGAGAGGGGGGGATGGGAGGGGGGAAGGAGAGACAAAGATAAGCACAAACAAACATACCCAACTCTTTCTCATAAAAAATAATGCAATAGAAAACAGAAAAAAACGGAATCCAGCACCACCCCTTCTCCCCCCCCGCCCCCATCCCCCCGAGGACGCACCTCATCAGCAGGGGCGTTCCCTGGGGCTCTAAGTCGTCGTCCACGGGCGCGGGTCCTGCCTTGAGCGGCTTGAAGGCCAGGCCGTACACGGCGCACGAGAGGCTGATGCCTGCGGGCGGACAGAGGGAAGGACACTTTAGCGTCGGACGCCCGTTTCTCAGGCTTCCAGTATTGTTTTATGCCATGAATATCTGTTTGATTGGAAGTTTTTTTTATTAGACGATCTTAGTTTGAAATTGTGTGTGTGTGTGTGTGTGTGTAGACATTAGCGTCGGTCATCTTTTTCCTAGGCTTCCAGTCTTGTTATGTA